TAACAAAGTTGAGCGTTTATCACAGAGTGTTAGATATCTCCCTCAGGGGTTGGTGGAGACCAAAGCGGAGCTAAACAACAGTGAACATCGGACACAATGACATTGCTCCACATCTAGTTAAAAGGCATTTGTTCTCCAACAGGTTGCCATACCCACCTCCTAAGATAATAATGTCAACTTGTTGCGAAAGTTGTCAGAACTAGCACCAAGATATTTTGTACTTGGCAGAGTTCTGTCTGGCACCCACTTATTCCAGTGGGAAACGTTTAAAACCTGAAAATGTTGACACTTTTCTCAGGGTGTTTACCAGAAAGCTTTTAGTCCAAGTTGGATTAGAATATTTTCGTTATAATGAGAGTAAATGGTCAATTTTAAAGGTGTTCCCACTTTAAGTGAGCCTAACTTCTGCGCTAACCCTTGCCACTTTTGTCTTTTAGTCATCAGGCCACAAGCACAACAGGCTTACTGGGAGCTGGTCTTTTGGAGTTATAGCATTTATTCACTGACCGATAGCCTAAACTGTACACACACTTAACTGCTATTCAAAGCTATGATGCTCGCTAGCTTGCAACCTATGCATCCAGTCATTCCTTAAATGAGTTCACTATAAAGCACACATTGGTTTAAAAAACATCTTAAACATATGTGTTTAAATCCCTGATGCTTAGACCAGGTGGAGAGTCATCTGAGGCCAACATCTAGCGCTTTCCTGGCACTTCAAATTGCTTGAGAAATGTAAACGCACTGCACTGTTAGAATAGAAAATGAGCACAATGTTCTCTCTAATTATATATATAGAGAGACATAGGTGCTATTCTGAAAAGAGTAAGATATTTCAAGGAAGGTTGAGGGAGGTAGACAGAGAGATAGATTGAGATAGAAATGGCATATCGACTGAAATTGGAAGTGAAGTATCTGCAGTACTTTGGACACGCACACACACACCGTCATCTCCTCACAATGAGGTGGAGAGTGTTTGGAGAGAGGGGGGGGCATCTTTCATACAGCTGTGTCCTGTTGCCTATCAGAGCTATCGGCCCCCTCCCGCTTGCTTTCTCTCTGAAACCGTGTCCGTGTTTAGCCTTCACACATCATTACCTGGAAACCCCGCTGCTATCTCCTGAGTCCTTTCTTTCTTCACTGCCTCCCTTTCTGCCCAAACTGCTTCCTCCCTACAGGGCGGTGAGGGTGAGGGTGAGGATGNTTGTGCACAGATGGAACAGAGATGGAAGGCTGACAGGCAGGTAGGCCATCCAGTTATTTTAGCCGGGTCGGCTAAAATGATTGGTCGTGCTTTTTACAGCGCTACGGCTTCCAGAGATTAATTTTGTTATGTATTTATTGTCAAAGCATTTAATATATTAATTGCTATCGGGACGTTAAGAGCATTCCATGGAATATAACAAAAAGTGTTTTCTGAAATAAATTACATACCCCATTGAATTATGACTGAAGATTGTCAGCTGTCTTCCTCTCCCGTGTTGTTCCTCGATAAGTAAAGGCTGCAGCACCGTTGACAACTTCTCTCTAGATATCAAACATACCGGTAAACCAGCATCGTTTACTGTGAAAGCATATAACTCTGTCCACACAGAATTAAATCCTGTGTTCCTCCGGTACTTTTCTTTGATTTATCCATAGTTCGCTCATCGAGCCGGGGGTCCCCGCGCGAGTGCCTCCAAGAAAAGGCGCTCGCGCGGGACCGTAGCAGGATGTCACGCATATTTTAGTTGACCTAATTAAAACCGTTTTGTTTTTTATTTATGTGTCACAGTATCACCTCAAAATACAAGATACGAAACATTTTCAACCGTGCAACAAAATATAAATAGTCCTACAAGTACTTTTATTTTATTTCCTTCTTATTTTTGTCTAAGCTCAAGGGAGCCAGAGCAGAGGGCTTAAAGGGCCGCATGCGGCCCGTGGGCCGCGGGTTGCCGACCCCTGTGCTAGACCAAGCACAGAACAAGTCGGTTTATGTCCTACAGGGTTAAAACATATGGAGTCATGTCTAACTCATCATCAGCTGTTAGGTGTACCTTCAGTGTGAAGCAGAAACCAACTGCGGCCATTAAGATGCATACATCGGGTTCAGCCACACATTGAGTCTCTGTGGGCCTGGGGCATGTCTCCATTTGGAAAGTTTCATCCATCCTGATCATGTTATTCACTTATAGAGAGGAAGAGATGCAATATGGATAAAAGAAATAAAGTGAAAGCGAGTAAAGACCTACATACACAACATAATGTTTACAACACAACATTATCACTAGATTCTCCTGGTATTGGTTTTATTTTTTAACAACATCATTAAAAGTACTTTGTATTGATTAGCTTGGCTACGAATAAAATGGGATCATCTAATGTCAATAACTTTCTAAAGGAAATCCTTTTGATTGTTTTCTTTCGACATCGAGTGATGACTGTTGAACCACTGGTTACTTTTGCAGGATTTTAAATAAATCCAAAATGCTAACATAGAAAGTGTTTTGATTCTTGATATTTTTTTATTGACTGACATATCTTTTTCCCAATAAGGGTGGGCCGAGGCCGGAGGATGAGTTGGAAGTGGCTCGCGCCGGACAGGAGCTGAACCAGGAAGTGAATCGTCTGATGGTGGCAATGAGAGACATGCTTGCAAACATCAGGTTTCAAGAGCCGCCGAGAGACGAAAACCCCTACAGAGATGAGGAGGAGTGGGACTGAGAGGAGAGAGACTGAGGTGGAAGAAAAATAATGACATTAAGAAAATTAAAATATTTAATGGGGTTAATAAATCATTGAGAAGAAGTGCTAGAGTGGGAGAACTGAATAGTATTTTTTAATTATCACAATTTCAGAGAACTGGACTGGACCTGGTTTTATGAGGTCGTCCAGTTCTCTGCCTTAGATACAAACAGATGGTTATTGAACATGTCATGTCCTTTAAGCTTGTACACAACATTGAGCAGTTCCAACATCTTCAGTCATGGTCAGTGACATATAATGGCCGCTACTCTTTCCTCTGGTTTCTGGCAAACCACATCTTTGGGGGAATCAGTCCAACAAATTAAAGTCCATGTGAACTTTCAATGGCTTACAAATGTAGATGGGAAAACAGAGAGCTAATTACACGTCTTTTTTATATAATTATATATACAATATTAACCACCTTTTTGTGTTGTGAAAAGCACAGATACTGAAAGGCATACCCCTCCTCAGACAACCGTGCTTCCTAGCAAATAAATGAGTACAAAAAACTCCAAACGATATCACACAAATTCTGCTAAAAGTAATTTCTGGGGGGATTTATAAAAAAAACAAAATCTTGGTGAGGTCCTGTTGGGACTGATCACCCTGGTGATTCATTAGGATCTAATTTCCCTTCAACGAGAATGAAGTTTAGTTGAGTTTCCTGCTAATTTAAGCATTCACTAAATCAAAACTATCACTTTTTCTTTGATCGTATCACTACATTATTCAAGAAGAGATATATTGCTCAAGTGTTGTTTCTTCACATTGTCAAGCAACAGTCGAAAACTCGAGATCACATTTTTCATGGGCTCCTTTTTTCTTTTTTCTTTTTTAAATGTTGGTGTAACCCTTATCTTCACTGCAGGAAGTCTGCTGTTTTCCTGCTCTGTTATGCTCCCCCGCTCCTGCTCTGTTTGCTTCACCCAATAAAACGGTACAGAGAATTGGCCCACTTCTTTCTAGTCTGCTGTTGTCTGTCAAACTATATTCAGTGCAAGAGTATGGCAGATATTTTATACATTTTGCTTTAGGTTTGTTTTATTATTTGAAGCCATTAGTCAAACACTAATGGCTTCTCTCAGGATGGCTATAAGATATTATATTGAACTTTTCATTCCTGCATTAGTTATGACACCAGATGTTTCCCAGTTTTCAATCTTTTGTTGCTGGTTTTTGTCATCATAATTGGGTCCTGAGTAAGGCTACAGAGATTTCTCCGCCTGACAATCTGCAACGCCCTCACATGGTTTATCTTCTGGCAGAAGGAAGTTCCTGTCTCATGACAACAACTTACTTTGTCTTCCTGTCAAACCTCTCAGACAAACGCATGTCACATTAGTTGTAGCTCTTATTATTCTGTAACAACTTGCACACAAGCTTTTTGGACAGAAATATATAAATCAAATTCAACCTAAAGGCTTTTTTTTTTATCACAACGAAGATACACACTTTGGATTTAACCACCACACACTGTAGCTGTTCATACATTAACTGTGTTACTCAGCTCACCACATGATAACAAAGTGTGACTGTGCTTGATTGTCAAATGATGTGATTGTTCTTAGATCACCTGGAGCTTGAGTGTGAGAAGTTTCATGTGATCGTTTTCAGTATAGATAGGCTTTTATATTCTCTGAGACGGTAGTGTCAGAAACCGTCTGATGCAACACTAATGCTGCAACCACTGCTGCATAATGTATATGTATGTATATAATAACTTAGGGGTCACGACAGGGTTATCTTTTTTTTTTTTAGTACTAACCTCGTACTCGAACTCGAGTCCTCGTACTAACTCTAGTACTAGACCTCGGAGAACTAAAACTATACCTGTAGATATCGACCTTGGTAACTTCTGTTAAGCACTGTGCATTTGAAGTCAAAAGTGTAAATGCTGATGATTATTTCAGAATCCATTAATGTGGAGATTATTTTATAGATTAATAAAATAATCATTTAGTAAGATGTATTGTAAGAATAGCATGTTGCAAGTTCCCAGAGCCTGAGACGGTGTCTTCACGTATTTTTGAGCCAAACAAGACTCAAAACATGTCCAGATTATAACGAAATCATCACATTTGAAAAGCTTAATCGAAAGAGACAAAAATACTTTTATATAAACAATTAATAGATTATTCAAATAGTTATTAAAGTAGATTAATTATTTGTCCATCAATTCATCTGTAATCTTGATGTTTAGCTTAAATTGAGAGGAATTTAAAACTTGAGAACCTCTTTTAAGAAGCAGAACAGCAATTCTACACTTTCCCACAATGCTAATTGTATACCCTGTTAATTCTGATTTAAATTATATAGCTTACAGTTTCAATTACATACTATACACATATACCCCTGACTGAACTACACCCCAATACAAAAAATACCAAATTCTTGCTCAGTGCAATGAGTCTTCTCTTTAATCCAGACCTTAACCATGCAGCAACTGCATTGCTACTCAAATGTAAAGTAGACTAATGGTTGTTCAACATATTTGAATAAGAACACATGGTGTCATGTTATTACAGTGCGTTTCAATATAGGCAAGGAAGAAATCATCAACCATCAAACACCAGCTTTTTGTTGATGACTTAAATAACTTATGTGGTGACGTGTCTAAAGCAACAACAGTATTTTCTGCAAATAATTGATTTATCAGATTTGTTTTATCCGTAAAAAATTGCAAAAAAAGGTCAAACTCAAATCTGGAATTGAATGCATTGATTCATATCTGTTGATGTTTGTCTGTAAGAAGGGAAAAGCAATGGAGGAGGCATACACGTTTGGTAGTCGCATTCTTGCATTAAATAAAGGGTAATTTTTAGATGGATGATATGGCATTGTCACTGTCATTATTATAGCATAATAACTTACACGTTTGTAAAGATAAAAGGAAACTACAGCATGCATTTAAAAAAAAAAGAGGACAACAAGATGAACTACTGGGCTGAACAAATCTGTTCACCACCCTGCTCTCCTCTACATGTTTTCTCCAAACTGCGCTTGTGTCAGGCATGACTGAAGACCACAGCTCAGCAGACAACTGCTGGAGAGGAGGAGTCGCCGGGGGTCAAGAAGCATCACTGAGAGAAGTGTTCAAACAAGTCACCAAATCCCAAGTTAACAAGGACACTTTATTCACTCTCACCATGTTAGTTGGAACTGTCGTTGCTTTTTGTGGATTATACTTTTGAAGCCATGTTTTGACGAAGAAGGTCATTTTATGGATTCCTATGCTGGACCACTTGCATCCATAGGAAAGAAGAAAACTGTCGTCAAAGAGACAACATCGCAAAATCTCTGGAATTACTTTGACTTCACCCAACTGCCGATTAATATTGATTTAATGGCTGAAATATATAGACAAAAAACTGTTTTTAGTTATTAGGGGGTGCATTGTGGATAACTGAACCACTCACTTGATTTTCTTCTAACCAGTTTGACTAAAACCGCTGATGGTGAAGCATCCTCCAAAAAGAAAACAATAACTTTCTTCCCTCGTTTGAGACTTTGCTGCAGTAAAAACCAGAAGCGCAGTGTGTTAACCTGCCAGCATCAGTCAGTCATGGAAATGAGCAACAGGTCACACAATATCCCCTCCATCCTCCACCTGGACTTTGGCCCGCTAAGTGACTTTTTGGAGTATAACGAAACTAACTCCACCGCAGGAGAGCGAAACTCTTTGGGCTGCGTGCAGATCCGCATTCCTCAGGAGCTCTTCCTCGCGCTGGGGCTCATCAGCCTGGTGGAGAACATCCTGGTGGTCCTGGCCATCATCAAGAACCGCAACCTGCACTCACCCATGTACTACTTCATCTGCTGCCTCGCCGTGTCCGACATGCTGGTGAGTGTGAGCAACGTGGTGGAGACCATCGTCATGCTTCTCAACGACCACGACCTGATGGACGTGCACCCTGGCATGCTGCGCCACCTGGACAACATCATCGACGTGATGATCTGCAGCTCCGTGGTGTCCTCGCTCTCCTTTTTGTGCACCATCGCCGCGGATCGCTACATCACCATATTTTACGCGCTGCGTTACCACAGCATCATGACCACGCAGCGCGCCATCGCCCTCATCGCGGTGGTGTGGCTGGCCAGCATCACCTCCAGCATCCTCTTCATCGTGTACCACACCGACAACGCTGTCATCGTGTGCCTCGTGACCTTCTTCTGCATCACTCTGGTGTTTAACGCGGTGTTGTACCTGCACATGTTTGTCCTGGCTCACATTCATTCCCGGCGCATTGTGGCTTTCAACAAAAGCAGACGCCAATCTACGAGCATGAAGGGAGCGATTACCCTCACAATCCTGCTCGGGGTCTTCATTGTATGTTGGGGCCCCTTCTTTCTCCATCTAATCCTCATCCTCACCTGCCCAACCAGCCCCTTCTGCAACTGCTTCTTCCGAAACTTTAACCTTTTCCTCATCCTCATCATCTGCAACTCGCTCATCGACCCTCTCATCTACGCCTATCGGAGTCAGGAGCTGCGTAAAACCCTGCGGGAGCTGGTGCTGTGTTCCTGGTGTTTTGGTGTTTGAGACCGTGTACTTCTAGGAAGAAAAAGAGCACCAATCTAACTACAATGTCGGCTACCTCTTCTTCCTGAATGTGAATTGTGTCAGAAGATGAAGTATGCTGTGACTGCTGCGTGCTTTAAACCGCTCATGGGGGACTGTAGCGCTGATAAATACTTGTCTCTGGATTTTAGTAGGCCTATTTAGTCTCGCTGTACAGATACCTTTGGTGTCCTTGCACTGTGAAACACCTTGACATTTAATCCAATAATGTCTGCTGGTACTGGACTACTTATTTTAGCTGACTGGCCTTTTATTATTGTTGTGTGTGTTGTGTTTTCCTCTATAAAACAACACGTTTTTTTTTGTATAGTGCCTCTGTGTTCGTCAACATATGTGGTCTTATTGACACTTTTTAAAAGAAATCAAAAGAATAAATAAACACATGCACTGGCTGTTCAATGTAATGTGCTGGATAAGAATCACTTAATTAAAACGCAATGTGAGTTTAGTGTCCCTAAGTAATTAAGAATATAGGCACGCATTCATTTAAATAAGTCTCTGCTATTTACTCTTTTAACGAAAAGTATAGAAGCAATTCCCAATTCTGATATTGTTGTGATTTGCGTGGATTTCGCGGGTTTGGGACCTCGTCATTTTAACGCTGTCCATGTTCTAAACTTTTTGAAAATGTGCCATTAAGGCATGCATCCCCGAAGCATTTATTGAGATGAAAACGTTTCACTGCTGATGAAACAATTGTTTTAATTTCGCAGTGAACGCGGGGATTATTTGTTTGAGCAAGGTGCAACAAGGGGAGGCTATAGATGACATTTTTTGTAGTTACCCTTTAAATTACACAAGGCCTATTGAATGTCTCGTTGCAGTCTAATTGGTGGCGATGTGTGTGAATTACTTCCCCTAAAATAAATGTCCGAGTGACGGGGATTATGAGAAAAATCACATGAACTGTCACGCTTGGTAACAGGCCTGGGGCATCGGAGGGTTTATGAAAGAATACATATCAAAGTTATATTTCTGGAAGTGTCTGTAGTTCTCTGAATTGTGGTTGTTCGAACACTTGGGACTTTGGGCCTGGTGGCCTGCAGATGTGTTTGTAAAAAAGCCATAAGAGCTTTGAAACAAAATCCTTTAAGATATAACCTATTGCTCTTGAAATTACCAATATGTAAAGCTCATATTTTATTTGTAATTATCATGATATCCTATTATTTATTGATCCTAAGGATTAACAGAGCTTTTGGAAAAACTGAAATGCTGTCTGTATAGTTATGGTATCTTTTAATACAAAGTGCTTTTGAAAAGTTGTTCCCAAATTACAGAAACTGTGCACTGGACTGTTTTGTCTCACAGGACAAAAACTATTTAACTTTAGTGTTTAGGTGATGGCCATGTATGGAAAGCGCATGTTAATATTTAAAATAACCTAGACTGATGTAGTAGTTGAAATATGCTTGTCAGATTATTTGCTGCTGTATTATATTATTCAAACAGTCCCCACTCAATTCATTCATTTTCTGTTGATTTTAAATTTTCAGCCAACTGTTGACAGGGACGCCGCCAGGGATTTTGGGCCCCATGAAAATATATCACATTGGGCCCCACCACCAGGCACAGGCCACTTTGTTTATAAATTACCTCGAGGGCCGTACCAAATGGTTTAGCGGTCCGTATACGGCCCGGGGGCCGGAGGTTCCCCACCCCTGCTTTAATATAATAACATTAGTATTAATATCATAACCAAAATGTCGGTGATTAACATGTAGTTTACCTAATAAAGACTCACTCAACGCTTCAAACTTTCCATCATTCAAACTTTCCATCATCCAAATAGACTAAAAGCAGTTTTTTGTTTTATATAGATCATTGGCTATGTGGGAAAATACTGTGTTTGAAATGTTTAATTAAAATTAGATGTTAGCTTTTTGTTTTATATATATATATAGGAGACTATATATATATATATATATATAGTCTCCCTTCAAATATGTTAAGTTTCATGTCATTCAACACAATGCTGCTCACCTCCTTCAGTTGGGAGAAAAGCTGGTTCAGGTTCAGCATTATGGGGGGACAGGGCTGCTGAGCTTAGAGATGGATCNTCACTCAACGCTTCAAACTTTCCATCATTCAAACTTTCCATCATCCAAATAGACTAAAAGCAGTTTTTTGTTTTATATAGATCATTGGCTATGTGGGAAAATACTGTGTTTGAAATGTTTAATTAAAATTTAGATGTTAGCTTTTTGTTTTATATATATATATATATCAAATATGTTAAGTTTCATGTCATTCAACACAATGCTGCTCACCTCCTTCAGTTGGGAACAAAGCTGGTTCAGGTTCAGCATTATGGGGGGACAGGGCTGCTGAGCTTAGAGATGGATCTGTTTGTCCTGGCACCAGGGGGAGGGACAACTGATTTAGTATGAATAGCCGCTAAAAATATGCCTGCATTTATTAAAGGTAGGGAGGTAAGAATGGAGAAACCAGCTCAAGTACGCTAGAATCTGAAAGTACACAACCGAAAAAAATCTGCCCCTTCCTTCAGTTCCTTACAGAGCCCCTCCTCCAACACACACAAATGCGCACATGACCAATGAGGGCACGAGATAAGTTTGTGCACAGATGGAAGGCTGACAGGCAGGTAGCCATCCAGTTATTTTAACCGGGCCGGCTCAGATGATTGGTCGTACTTTTTACAGAGCCACGGCTTCCACAGATGACATTTTTTTATGTATTTATTGTCAAAGCATTTAATATATTCATTGATATCGGGATGTTAAGAGCATTCCATGGAATATAACAAAAAGTGTTTCTGCAGTGAATTACCTACCCACCTTTAAATGTCAGCTAAAAGAGCAGTGAAATGGAAAAACTTTTGAATTTTCTGTAAAGATATTAACAGTAGCCTACTTAATGTCAGCTTAGTAAAAACAAAACATTAGCTAACAGAATAATTTCCACCACTCATGGACCACACCTTTTTTTGTGTAAACTGGGGACATACTGACTTTTGAGTCATGAGACATAGGTACAACACAAAGTGTAGGCTAAGTAACTAGCATCCTCCTCAACATGTTTCACTCTCTGCAAGTGCCTGGTGCCGCAGCCGCCTTTGGAGGCAGGACATACATTACATGTAAATAAGGGGCGTCGAAGACGGCCTCTTGATATTAACCTTTGA